AGGTGTACGTGGCTGGCGCCTTAGCCGGTTGAGCTATAGGTGCCGAGCCTTGTTCTTACATTTTTAAAAAGAGGCTGGTTTTGTATTTCTCACCCACCTCTAAGTGTGTTGTGAAATAGAGCACAGCAGCCCTAGGTCAGCTGACGCCTCCTTGTCCTCTGAGACCCAGATAAGTGTGCTTTGAAGTGCAAAGCCTTCTCCAAGATCTCCCTGTATATCCTGGAGATCTGTATCTTCAGACTTCTGCCTGCCAGCTGCTGTGTCGAGTCTGTGTGTCACTCAGACAAGACAAGGCCCTTCCTTGAGTTTCTTCCAAGCTCGAGTCTAGGTGTGCTAGCGTTCACCCAAGACTAGGATTATGGGGAGAAATCATTCTCCATAAAGCTCTCAGAACTAAGGAGTGTCCCTCAGCCTCTCACCTTGCTGGTGCATTCTATGGGGGTTTCCAGCCTCCTCCCTCTCCCTCTAGGACAGACCTGAGCACAGGCAGGTGGAGCATGTGGACTCCCATGAAAACATGTGGGCCCAGCCAGCCCATCTGGTGCTCAGCAAACAGCCATCTGATCACCACAAGGCCCACCCTTTCCAGGAGGCAACTGAGGTTATAAAACACTATCTTCCTGATGTGTATCTCAGCACAGTACCTGACAAGCAGTGGCCTCTGCATTTCTTCTTTACTCTTCTCAACCCTCTGTGCCAGCACCCTTGGTAGCTTCTATTTGTTGGTCAGTCGGGCAGTCAGTACCTGCTAGGCTGTGGATCCGGCATTTATATGCATTACCTCATTTAATCCTCACTTTATGAAGTGGTGTTATCATCAGTCCCACCTTACAGATGAGGAAACTGAGGCTGCTGAGAGTCAGTGACTTGTCTGCAGTTGCACAGCTCATTGCCTCTCCGTCTGCCTGCCCACCTCCACTCAGGGACCATCTTCCTGTGGGTCTTCTGGCCTAGCTTCAATTCTGCGCCCACTGCGCTGGGAGATGAGCAGCTTCGGACAGCCCTCAACACATACTATTCCCTGACCGCAAGCACCCTCAGCACCTTCGCCCTGTCAGCTCTTGTCAGCAGGGATGGGCGGCTCGACATGGTATGGGGAGGACACCTTGAGAGAGGCAGAGGGGTGGCCTGGGAGGGCGAGGAGAGGTCAGAGACCCTACAAGGAAGATTCTCTAGGGGAACAGGTAAGAGCACAGGCATGGGGGCTCCATCTGTACTGGTGGTGGGAGTCAGAGTGGGAAGAAATGATGTGACAGCAGGACAGTGAGAAGTTAGATGGCAGAAGTACTTCCAGAAGTAGTAGGTGTCACTGGTGGATCGGGAATGGGTTGGGTGGGGGTGTGATGATCTGAAAGGGCTGCCAGTGCCTTGCTGTCCCCTGTTCCCATAGGTCCACATCCAGAATGCGGCACTGGCTGGAGGGGTTGTGGTGGGAACATCAAGTGAAATGATGCTGACTCCCTTTGGGGCTCTGGTTGCTGGCTTCTTGGCTGGGACTGTCTCCACCCTGGGGTACAAGTTCTTCACGGTATAGATGTGTCTCGGGCCCTGGGGGGAACATGGAGGGTTCAGTTTCCTAGAGGGGGGCTAGGAGAGGGCATGGGAGACTCATTATCTTTCTTGTCCTCCAGCCCATCCTTGAATCAAAATTCAAAGTCCAAGACACATGTGGTGTTCACAACCTCCATGGGATGCCAGGGATCCTGGGGGCCCTCCTGGGGGCCCTTGTGGCTGGGTTGGCCACCCATGAAGCTTACGGAGATGGGTGAGTTTCCTCCAGTCCACACTGTAGTCATTACCTATCTGGAGTGACCTCTATCATGAGCCTTCTCAGTGGGCCACCAAAAAAAAAAAAAAAGCAAAAACAGCAATGTTTATATTTTCTCTCTCTTTTTCTTTTTACTCTTAAAGTACACTCTCTCTCTCTCTCTTTTTTTTTAGACTAAGTCTTACTCTGTCTCCTTGGGGTTGAGTGCTATGACATCATCATAGCTCACAGCAACCTCAAACACCTGGGCTCAAACTATCCTCTTGCCTCAGCCTCCTCAGCAATAGGAGACTTTAGGCACCCAGCTGGTTTTTCTATTTTTAGTAGAAACAGAGTCTTACTCTTGCTCAGGCTGGTCTCGAACTCCTAAGTTTGGGCGATCCACCATCCTTGACCTCCCAGAGTGCTGGGATTATAGATGTGAACCTCAAGCTGAGTCTTGTAAGGTGTGTGGGTGTCTGCTGGTAGGGGGGTGCTCCAGGGTGTGGGGGCTGGCTTTAACCTAAGCCCAGAGGTGAGACTCAGCCTGACAGGCTTCCTTGAGGCCCTTTTGGATGTTTCATGTACACTTAGGTGAGCACCAGTGCCAGCCCTGGCCTGTGCTCCATCCCTGCCCCACCACTGCAATCTGGTCTCCCCACAGCCTACGGGACGTGTTTCCACTGGTAGCTGAGGCCCAGCGCAGTGCCACATCCCAGGCTGTGCACCAGCTCTTTGGGCTGTTTGTTACACTGATGTTTGCCTTTGTGGGTGGGAGCCTTGGAGGTGAGTAACCTTGGCTGTTGGTGGGGGGCTGGAAGGAGCTCCAGGGAGGGGAGACTGTAGAGGCAGAAACTATGCCCCAACATGGATTCATTCACTCCCAGATATTTATTGAACACTTACTTTGGGCCAGGTAAGGGGCTGGGTTGTGGTTTCAGGGGTGACCTTCCAGTGGGAGATGCAGGTAGGTGCTTGTTCCTTCCAGCTGCCAGGGAGGCTGGCGAGCTTCAGGGGCTGAGTGAGACCTTCCCCTCCCATCTGGGGCTTCATGTTCTGCTCCCTCTACCCACTAGAGGGTGGCTGGGTCTCGGGCAGCTGGGTCTCAGGCAGCCCTGCTGACTGCTAGACCAGAGCCAAATACCTTCTGAGGCACACTGCCCTGGCCCGGTCAGGTGGTTCTTCCTTAAGTTTGACCTTATTCTTTTTGACCTTGAACATAAAACCTGATTTAGCATCCCCACCTGCTTTTACCCAGAGATTTTTCTTCCCTAACAAAGTTCAGTTTATTTATTCACTTAATAACTTATTCAGTAAACATTTTCTGTGCCCCTCTACGTAACAGGCCACAGAATGCTCAGCAGCTGGTATCCATGACGGAATCATGATTTGCTCTATTACTGACTGTACAAACTCGGTTTTCCCATCTGTAATATGGGCATAATATTCACTTTGCAGGATGCTCTGATTACTCAGGAAGGCAGTGCTGCTCAAGCACTTTGCACAGGGCCTGGCATAGTAGGCACTCAACAAATACAGCTGTCTTTTGCCTATACCGGGCACCATGTTAACCTCATGCCTGTCAGCCCTTATGGGCCCAGTGGCAATGAGTAGAAAGCTCCCCATGGGTAGGGGAGGCAGAGAAGCTTCATCCTCCTTCCCCTGCTACTCCCAGGGCTCCTGCTGAAGCTGCCCTTCCTAGACTACCCCTCGGACTCCCAGTGCTACGAGGACCAGATTTATTGGGAGGTGAGGCAGGGCTGTGGCCCTCATGCCCTCTGGCCCTCCCTTCTCTATCTCACCTCCTAAGGCCCAACTTGCCTTCTTCCTTCCTTCCTGCTCCTTCTCTGGGGCATACCCCAGAGCTGTGTCCTCTAGCCCCAACACCCTCTCCTCCCTTCCAGGTACCTGAGGAGCACGAGGATAAAGCCCAGGAGCCTCTCAGGGTGGAGGAACCAGACACTCAGGCCTAACCTCTCGTGCCAGCTCCTGAGAGGATGCACCTTTTAGAAGATGATGAGTGGGCTCGGCGCCTGTGGCTCAAGCGGCTAAGGCGCCAGCCACATACACCTAAGGTGGCGGGTTCGAATTCAACCCGAACTCGCCAAACAATAATGGCTGCACCCAGAAAATAGCCGGGTGTTGTGGCAGGTGCCTGTGGTCCCAGCTACTTGGGAGGCTGAGGCAGGAGACTCACTTGAGCCCAGGAGTTGGAGGCTGCTGTGAGCAGTGAAACCATGGCACTCTACCTAGGGTGACAGCTTGAGGCTCTGTCTCAAAAAAAAAGAAGATGATGAGTGGCTACCATCAGGAAGTCTCTCTGTAGCTCCATTCCTTCTACTGCAAGAAAGGAGTCATGAGCCAGAGGAAGCCTCCCCCTTCCATAGGCAATTTTCCCAGGAGAGGGGCAGTAGAAAGCTGGGAAACAGTGTTGGAAGGAGCCTAACTGTGGGGAGCCTAACTGTGGGAGAGCCTAACTCTCCAGCATCACACCAGCCTGCACTATGGGTCGAGGGGCCAAAGCGAGGCACCCAAGTCAGTGCTGAGCCACTGGCCCAGCACCACAGTTACAGTGAAGCCTAAACCAGGCCTGGCTGTCTAAGGGTTATAAACATTGCTGTTACTAAGGACTCTGACTCCTTTTATTTGTGCCCTGGGTACATGGGGAACTGCTCTTTCCTTCTAATTCACAATGTTCAAATCTCAAGGCAGGAAAGGAATTCAGTGGTGACAAAATCCTTCCTCCCTGGGTCTATGGGACTTCCTCTAGGATGCTGTGTCCTACTAAGTGAGTGCTCAACCTGGGATTGCCTGTCTCCAGGGACAGGGGAATGGTTCTCTCCCAGAAAGCCTGTGTTTGTATAGAATGGCTAGGCTGCTGGAGAGTTCTCCCTGTTCCAGAACTGCTTCTACTCTGACCCTCACGTGGGGAGCCTCTGGGCAGGGTAGGAAGTGGGCTCCCACAGGGCTTAGAAGGGACAGAAAGAATTGGCTACTAACTCTCAGAAGCTGGAAGCAGCCATCACCTAGGTGCTACTTTACCACCCTGTCGGGAGATTGGGGATTGGGGAAGGGGGTTGTGTGGATTAGGGCTGCGGCTGAGGACTAAGGAATCCAATGCCTTGCGTGGCCTGAAGTCATTTGACCACTAGAGGGAGCCCCAGACTCGGTAGAAGAGGAAGATGCAGCCTTCACGCCCCACCTTGGTCCTCTGCCAAGCACAGACATCCTTTCTGCAGCCTAACCCCGCTCTTGTCTGCTTAGGCTCTGGTCTTCATGCTCATGCTACAAGTCCTTTCTGAGCTTCAACCCCTGCTACATATCATGAAGATGCTGGGGTTTCAGATCTCTCCAGCAGAAAATCCATCCCTCCAGTGGACTGGAATCCCCTTCCTAACACTGAAGGACTAGAACCACCACCTCACCCTCTTCGGCCTTCCCCCAGGTTTCTGGCAGAAGTTGTGCAGACCAGGACTGTTCAGACCTAGGAGCCCAAGGAGGAAGTAGAGGGGTTCCTGGGGCCTAGCCCTAGAACAAGGGCAAAAGGTGACCCTATAGAGCTTGTCACTGTAGCTGGAGGGGCTGAGCTTGGCTGATCTAGAGACTAAGCACAGAAGCAAGGAGAAGGGGAGGAGTGAGGAGAGTCTTCCATGGAGCCATAGGACCCAACTCTGCTTCTGTCCCTATAGATCCCATCCCTCTGCAGCCTCCTGCCTCCAGGGGCTGGTGTGCTAGGGAGAGATTGGGTGACTGCTGAAATTTTGAAAAAGTTCTCTGGTCACTGTCAGGCTCTGCTGAGATGGAGGCAGTTTGGGAGAGCTGAGGCCCCATCCCCTGTTCTAACCTATGGGCCAGAAGCTCCCAACTCTGCATGGGTCCAGCCAGCGGACCTACCCCTGCCCTAGAGCTCTCCTAGCAGTCCTCAAAGAGAAATCTGAAAGAAAACTCTCAGGAAAGGAAGGATTCAAGGACAGGGTGAGACCCTCCTAAGCTCATTCTAGGTGGGAAAAGCTACACATATTCATCATTTATTCATGGCACCAACGTTTTACAACTTGACCCTTTCGATCTACTACTGGTTCCTTCTTGACTACAACAATGACTTTTCCAGGCCTGACAAAATGTCAGCTGCAGCCCAGGCTGGTCGTTGCTGGGAGATAAGCTTGGGCTGAAGCATCCATGTATCAATCCAGGAAGGTTTCTTGTAGAAGGGACAAGTGAGCCCTCTTTAGAGAGGACAAATGCCCAGCCAGCTTTGGACAAAAGGGTACAAGTCCAAGGATGTCCTGTCAAGATGTCCCTGAGAAGGCTGGGCTCACACCTGTAATTCTAGCACTCTGAGAGGTTGAGGTGGGTGGATTGCTTGAGCTCAGGAGTTTGAGACCAGCCTGAGCAAGAGAGAGACCCTGTCTCTACTAAAAATAGAAAAAAAAAATTAGCCAGGTGTTTGGCAGGCACCTCCCTATAGTGCCAGTTTCTTGGGAGGCTGAGGCAGAAGGATTACTTAAGCCCAAGAATTTGAGGCTGCTGTGAGCTATGATGCCACGGCACTCTACCCAGGGTGATAGAGTGATACTCTGCCTCAAAAACAAACAAACAAACAAAACCCAATTGGCTCAACACCTGTAGCTCAGGAGCTAGGGCGCCAGCCACATACGTAGGAGCTGGCAGGTTTGAACCCAGACTGGGCCTGCCAAACTATGACAACTGTAATAAAAAATAGCTGGGTGTGGCTCGGCGCCCGTGGCTCAAGTGGCTAAGGCACCAGCCACATACACCTAAGGTGGTAGGTTCGAATCCAGCCGAGGCCTGCCAAACAACAATGATGGCTGCAACCAAAAAATAGCCAGGCGTGGTGGCGGGCGCCTGTAGTCCCATCTACTTGGGAGGTGGAGTCAGGAGACTCGCTTGAGCCCAGGAGTTGGAGGTTGCTGTGAGCCATGATGCCATGGCATTCTACCCAGGGCGACAGCTTGAGGCTCTGTCTCAAAA